AAAAAAATATTGTACAGAAACTTTAAAGGTTTTTTCGTTTTTGCGGTAACTTCAGTGAAATATTTTTGATCAACTTTTTCGGTCAAATACGCAACTGTGCGGTCATCATTTTAAATGGTTTTACATGGCTGTCGAAATCTTTTTTATTCAAGTTGGCAATTTCTATTAATTTTTTTCCTTTGCTTTTGCTAGCATAATATCCATTTTGTTAATAAATTTGATACATGTTTTTTTCCTTACTATATCATAAAATTGCTTTTCTCTAATTACCGTTTTTTACATCCATTTAAAACAATCATGACAACCATTTAAAACAACCATGACTTTCATTTAAAACACCGTCACAATCAATTAAAACGATGTGATTTTTAATTAAAACAATCGTGATTTTCAATTAAAACATTTAACGCATGCGCAATCTCATCATTCTGTATTATTTTTTTAAAAAAATAAGGTTTTCTTTATATATATTTATTTTTTTTATTCGATTTTTTAAAATTATTTAAAATGTTATTTTATTTAAAATATAATATTTTTTCCAATTACTGTCGAGATATGTCATCTGACCTAAGACGCTTCGAAAAAGCTTTTGCAGTGTGTGTAATAGTTTGATAAGTTAACATTAGGAATAGATAAGCATGTCTCACGCATTCTTGAAATTAGTTCATTTCTTCCGGCTGGGGCCGGATTTCTTTGCACGTTATTCTTAAGATAAAAAAAAAATCTCTTCACACTGATTCAAGAATGGTGCAAATATTTTATTTGAATGTTCTGAGCCCTCATCTCAACATTATGATGGATTCTTCCTCTGTCCCCAAAAGTTGCCTAACTTCATCAATATATTCTTGAAACAAAACTGTGTTGAATGACACACTGACAGCTTCGCAGTGAATAATATTTAAACCATTGACGGCCAATATCATCAAAACGTTACGTTGCCTAGGGCGAATGATCGTGTTTGGCGTTACTCCACTTCTTGCCCATGAATAACTGCGTAAATGTGTAAATTAAATGGACTTTTATCAATAAAAACAATATTTCGATAGCGATTAATAGGTGAGATTGAAGTATACCACCTAACATATTCAATACGAAGATTTTTTACATCATTGTCGTCTCTTCTTTCATAAATTGGTCGAGTAATTTTATATATGTATCTAAGATTGGTCACCCATCTCCAAACAGTTTTAATCGATACATTTACATTTAAAGCATATTTAATTTTAATTATAGTTATCGTTGTATTATCGTTTATAAGCTCTTTAATTCCTCTTCTAATTTCTTCATTATAAATAACGTGACGAGCGTATATTTTGAGATCAGTGAAAAAAATATGGTTTTGCGTCCATTTAAAACAAACATGACAAATTTAAAATAAATTCCATTAAATTAAAATAAATTAATATAATATAATTAAAAATAAATTTATATAATATTAGATAAATAAATATATAAAGAAAACCTTTTTTTTAAAATAATATAGAATGTTGAGTTTGCGCATGCGTTAAATGTTTTAAATGAAAATCTTAATTGAAAATAACATTGTTTTAATTGATTGTCGCGGTGTTTTAAATGATTGTCATGGTTAATTTAAATGGTTGACATGATTGTTTTAAATGGATGTAAAAACCGGTAAAAAAGCTAGTCATTATTTTTCTTTTATTCAAAGTCAGAGAATTAATACTCTATTTTTAAGACGCTATTTTTTTGCATAAAGTGGAAATGAAATTCCCGTAGTGCTTATGCAGAAAATATCAAAATTTAAAATCTGTATCAATCTTACATCACTTCTCAATAAAATTTTCAATATTTTAATTTAAAATATTCTCTCCAATCACTTTTGCGAGATTATATCTCAAGTAATCTTGCACTAAGTAAAGTTTTTTTTTTTTTTTTTATCATAAAATTTTATCCACGCTAAGTTAAATCTTTATTACTGCATTTAATGATCCCTGATACTCTTTAACCATGTGAATATTTTTTTTTACAACTTTTTTACAAAGATTAGAAACAACTATTACTCCATTTAATAAAATTTTGTGATCTGATGGAAAACATCTTATTATTTCTTCTGCCCTTTGTGTAGTAATAATACTACGCATATACTTAAGTATATCACCTGCTTTCTTAGAATAAGCGCTATCTTTTACATGATCATTTTTTCTCACCCTTTCTAAATGCTCATCACCACGTTTAAAGCGTTGCTTTTACTAATAAAAACGTCATTCAACAGAAAAACAGCTGCATAATAGTTACTCATTACATCATCATCACTATTAAAATTATTGGTGTCTTTGTTTCATTTTTGTCATTTTTACACGTTCTTTATAACCAGGCGCGTACTGGTGCACCAGGGTACCGTGAAAATCCCGGTAGGCCCTCTTAAGTAATATAAGACCTGTCTTCGTATTTTAACTGAATGTGAATTTAATGTTAGAGTTATTGTGTGTGACAACCATTCTGCTAATGTTTCTTGTTTTAAAAAAATCCTTTGTGCATCGAATCAACAAGCTGAAGATTTGTTTTTTATTTACAATCTAAAAAAAATTTACCTCTGTTTTAATGTTGTACATCTTATTAAAAACATCAGAAATAATTTGTTAAATTGCAAAAGATTTTTATTTCCAGATTTTAACTTTAATGGATTTAAAGATCCTATAATTGTATGTGGGGGAGAAATTAAATGGAGTACCTTCCACAATATTTATGAAAAAGACCTCACTCTTGATGCTGGTTTGCGTAAAGCACCAAAAATAACAATGAAAGTGTTACATCCTGGCAATTTTAAACAAAATGTTTCTTTAGCACTTGCAGTTTTTGATGAAATTACATCAGCAGCGATTCACTCATATTTTCCAGATCTTAAAAGTAGTGCAGATTTTCTTACATTATTTAACAAGTGGTGGGTTTTATCAAATTCTAAATGTCAGTATTCAGCATGTAATATTTTAGGTAATGCAGTCGTTTCTGGTGATAAAAAACCTGAATTTCTTCGGGAAATGGCACATTGGATTGAAGTTTGGCAATCACAAAAGATACCAAACTGTGAGGAGTTTACTTTAAGTGTTCAGACAGCTGCAGCACTAATAAGAACATTTAATAGTCATGCCTCATTGATCGACGACTTGCTTAATGATGGATATCACTTTGTTTTAACTGCAAGATTTCAAAGTGACCCATTAGAAAGGAGATTTGGAAAATATAGAAATAAAATATAGCGGTGGAAGATTTTTGGTAGGTTTAAAAGATGTCACTATTTCTGAAAAAATATTAAATATCAAAAGTATAGTTAAAGAAAGTATTAACTTCGATGATAGTTTAAAAGTGCCTGAGTCAGAAAATAATTTAACAGATTGGAAAAACTTTCTTCTTGATATTGATGAAGCTCAGTGTACTCCAGAAATCATGACACTTGCACCAGAAAGTAGGGAAGTAGGTGCTCATATTGCTGGTTATATAGCAAAGAAACTTAAAAAACGTTTTGGTACATGTTGTAAAGAATTTTTATGTTGTGTCAATATTGATGAAAGCAATCCTGATCATACTTATTTAACAATTATTTCTAGGGATGGTCTCACTATTCCCTCACCATCACTTTTGGATTATGTTTGCACATCCTTTGCTATGATTGACTACTTTAATAAAAAAAAAAAGAAATTTAGTTTACATGCACGACAAGCTTTAGAATATTTGTTAAACCACTTTTATGACTCTTTTCAGACTTTTTTTTGTCTCATGCATGAGAAAACTGGGATAAAACTTGCTAGAAGAATTGTTGTTAACATTTTTCTTAATAATAAAAGAATTATCTCAACAAGTGAAGTAGCTGTTGATCATGTAAAATCTTTTAAAAAGAAAAAATTTGAGAAAATTTAATAAATTATATATAATTATTTTATTTTTAAATGAAAAAAGAGAAACATTTAAATATTTTTTATAACTGTTCTTGTTTCTTACATCGTTTTTACTAATACTAAATTTTAAAATAAACACTATTTATTTCTTAATAAATGTTCGTTTAATATCTAAAATTATGAATAAATATAACTTTTGTGGACTTTTTAAATGTAGAAAGTAAAATAATATTGAAAATGTTCAAAACGTATTAAATTTTTGAAACATTACGATTTTAAAAACTTACCTTCTATTTTTTTCTTCAAAATGTAAAATATCCAGCCGTATAAATAAAGTAGGCCATGTCAAAAACCATAATTGTAGTCCAATAATGCAAACAATTAACATGCATGACTTACTTACAACATGTGTGTGTATTCCATATAAAAATATCAAAGTTGTAATATCTTTATTAAATAATGTAAATTTTTGAAACTTTGTATTTTTTGTTGTTATATATATATATATATATATATATATATATATATATATATATATATATATATATATATATATATATATATATGTGTGTATATATATATATATATATATATATATATATATATATATATATATATATATATATATATATATATATATATATATATATATATATATATATATATATATATATATATATATATATATATATATATATATATATATATATATATATATATATATATATATATATATATATATATATATATTGAAGGTTTATCCATTTTTTAACTGCAAAGCTTATTTCTAGAATCATTTATGTTTTATAAACACGGAAAATTTATCCTCAAAACAATTCAAAATATACAAGTGTGACAATTTTGCATTGATATATTGTAGAGAATAAATAGTAAGTTTAACTGTTATGACTTATTTGCTATTTAATTTATAATTATCTAAATTTGTAGGTTGTACAGTACCATTGTAATTAAAGAAGACGGAATTGACACTAAGACAGTAGTACCTACTTACTGGGTTAATGCAGTAGAAGGTATAGTATACTATCCCCCTCAAGGAAAAAAAACTGTGGGTATTTATTTAATTGAATGGGCTAGTCCAGAACCTGGCTGGCAGGAGTTTGTATTGTTATAATTTATTTTAGAGTA